ATATTCGCTATACACTAAAAAAAAGCATGACGTGCCAGACTGTTAAATCAGACTTTCTTCGACTCATCAGGAGGTGTGTGTGTGTGTGTGTGTGTGTGTGTGTGTGTGTGTGTGTGTAGTGCAGACATGCGGAGTCTGCACTAAGCAACTGGAAGTGGGTTTGACTGACTCCATGTACCTTAGCTTTGAGTGAGAATGTCCCAGTGGCTTAGGACCTGGTTCCACTGGTGCTCTGTTTGTGCAAGAACTCGCGAATCTGTTGGTCCCTGTTGGTATGAGAAAACAGCGCAGGAACGAAAATCCAATCTTCTTTTTTGGTTACTCGCCATGCTTACAATGTGGCAACGATGACCGTCAAATGGAGAGACTAATTTGTGTAGCCTTTTATCCCTTTTTTTTTTTTGCAGGAAGAAGATAGGGACGACTCTATAGGGGTTTTCGAAGACCTAGATTGCTAGGATCTGAGATTGAATTTCCTCTCTCCCATGCAAGATGATGGATGGTATTTCACTTCTATCATTTCTATGGACTTTTCCCTTTACGAAACTCCCTAACTACTCTCTTTTCTCTTCCTTGCCACTCTTACATCCAGGATTGTTCTCCTTTTCTTCTCACCTCTCTCTTATTCCTCCTCTTATGTACGATTTTGAATTTTCGATCAAGTTGTTCTTAGGGGTAACTTCAGTAGAGTCACAAAAACGAGTTATAATTGCACTACGGGGCAAGGTGCAGTTTGCAATTGCACTTGGTGCACCCTACACCTGGCCAGAAAGCTGGGTTGTCTACATTGCCCGAACTGCAATAATTCGAAACTGTATCTTGGCCCATAGTGCAATTATAATTCCTTTTTGTGACTCCTGCGTAGTTTCCCCTTGTTCTCATTATTCATCCTCCTCTTACATACCATAATCAACTAGGTTGTTCCTCCCCTTCCCTCCCCGCCTTTTACTTTGAAACGGTTTTCACTTTTTGCAGACACAGATGCGGATGCCAGGGCTCGATCCCCAGACCTCACCTTACCTTACCTTGCCTGTGTACGGTATCACGTCGACCCTGTGAGTCTTGAACCTGTGACCTGTGTGTTAGTAGTTGAAAGTTGCCTGTCGTAGGTCTGAGTAGTTGTTGGGTCTTGAACCTTAGACCTGTCGAAGTAGGGGGTCACACCTGCATATGGGTCATAGTTGTTGTAGTTCTGAAAGGTCAAGGTCGTAGCTGCTACAGTTCTGAAAGGTCAAGGCCGTAGCTG